AGTGATTGCCAATGCTGGCTTTGTCTGTGACATTATGATTATTAATAGTGAGCTCAAATTTGTCATTGGTATTTGTATTTTTCCTCCTTTCATTAATAATTTTCCAGCTCTCCTTGCTTATGTTATTTGCATTCAGTATTCTTTTGTTGTTATATTCTGCTTTAGTTTTTTTCACCAATTGTTCATAAAGATATTTCAGTTGTTTATATCTGGTTTTTATTGTTTCATTTGTTGAACACTTAGCTATTCTACACAAATCACATACCATTTGGTGTAGATCTTTAATTTCTTTATTTATCCACGGTTTAGCCCTCGTATTTTTATTTACTCTAATTTTTTCCAATGGAAAAGCAATGTCGTAGTAGTACAGAAGAATTGAATGAAAAATATTGTATCCTTCATTTACATCATCCGCTGTATAAACATCCTCCCATTTTTCACTCTTTAACAGTTCTCTGAAAGCTATCAAGTTATCATGTGAGAATTTACGTTTATAAATAGTTTCTTCACTACATTTATGTGCTCTTGGTAATGGGAATGTACAGATTTGAAATTTATGATCTGAAAGATGCGTATCTTGGACATGACAATCGTTTGGCTGGAGATTTGTATACATTGCATCTATGCTTCTATTGATACGTGTGGGCTCAGTTATGACATTTCTCATGTCAAATTCATAGAATATGTTTTTGATTTTTCTTGATTCACAAGTGTCTGTAAGAGAGTCTATATTAATATCACCACATAGAATGTAGTATTGTGTTGTCGTGAAGATTTTGCACATCAGATCATAGATTTCGTCTAGAAATATATTGAGATCACTATTTGGGGTCCTGTAGACTGTGATAATATACAATCTACTTTTTTTATTCGGGATTTCTAAAACAGCAATTGTTACTTCAAAACTTTTCTCTATACTTTTGTTGAATGTGAAAGGTTTCAGGGGGAGATTTTCTTTTGATAGAATACATACACCACCGTGTTCGTACACTTTTCTGCAGTAGCTATTACTCAGACTATACTCAAGAAGATTGAGACTTGCTATTTTGGCTGGGTTGAGCCAGTGTTCCGAGAGGCATAAAATATCTGGTGACTGTTGGTTCAGTAGAACTTCCAGTTGATGAATTTTCCTTGGAGCCAAGCCTTGAATATTGAGATGCATTATAACTAATTCGGCATCTTTTACTTGGCTGTTGTTCCTAAAAAAGAATTTGGACCTTCACGCTCTTCATTCTCCACTTGAAACTGATCCTGATGAGGATTATTGTCAAGAAAATGCTGACCCAGTTTAAAATTGAAGCGACTATATATAACTTTTTTGGGCCAGAAAGTGTTTTCATAGATTTTATCCTTGAGATGAGGTTCAACACCAATCATGAAAGATTGATTGTCCTGCCTGGTAGTTTTTGTTTGTAATTTCTTCACGCTCACGCTATTGGAGTTTGTGCGGTTTTTTATGTATTTTTCAATGTTTTCTTCATTTACTGAGTCCGGAATTCTGCTCAGAAATAACCAGATCTTTTTCTCACTATTTGACCTTCCTTGTAGAAAATTGTCTCCATTTCCACTGCCTTCCATAAATCTCTTCTTGCGTCTGGTGACTTTGGTGAACCCATTATCTCCATTATCGACGGGATTCGCTAGGTTAATGATTTCCTCGAATTTTCGTTTGGTTTGTACTTCAAGGATATTAGCAGCAATCTGTTTATCAAGGATGTTTGACTTGCTTGGAGTCTTGGTCAGTTGTGGTTCTACTATTGCATTGCCACTTGGTTCACCCTGTAAGTAGGAATGCCCCTCTGTGACGTGCACTGTTGTTTGTTGGTCATCAGGTTTAGTTTCCCACTTTTTTGTTTGGGATTCCTTATAGCTGTTTTTATTTACCGTAGTAATCTTATCTGTGTCGTTTTTTACGACTAGCTCTTTTTTTAACTGTTCCACTTTTTCTTGAAGGAGTCGTTTGTTTTCATGAAGCAATTTAATATTGTCTTCCAATAATTTGAATTTGTGTTCCGTACCTTCAAGGAGCTTTCTGAGATATTCATTCTCGATTTTCAGTTTTTCCATTTGTATTTCTTGACATGGATCATTGACAGTATTGAATTTCTCGTCAGAGTCCTTCAAATTTCCCTGGGGAGCTATTGGATTGTTTTCTTCTTCCACAAATGTTTTTTCACAACAAACTACCCGAGTTGCACAACTTTTGTGGTATACTTTGCCACATTCAACACATTTGACGATTTTTTTAGATACATTTTTCTTGCAATAACAGCAGAGCTCTATACTCGCGTCCGCACTTGCGGCCATCTTGGTTCTCTCTATCTATCTATTCAGTAAAAGAAAGTAAATGTAAAATATTTCATTCGATTCCTAGTTATTTTTGACTATATTCCTCATTCAATAATTTGAAGGTAGCACCTACATATATTTATTAAAAATAAAACGAACAGTTTAAAATGTTATTTTAATAAAAATAACAATTTCAGACACCAACATCAGATCTTTTTAAAATTGTATATCTAATCTCATTTTTCATATACTAGGTAGGTATATATAATATTGCTATAACTAGGCTACAAAATAACAATTTTGGCTTCATAGCAATATACAAAATAGTGTAAAATTTTAAGTAGCTGTCTCAAAGTACTTTTTTAAGGCGGAATGATAAATATCTCACATCGAAGGGATTATACAGTGCGTATCCCAAGTCTCCTCATGACACAAAATAACCAAGACACAAAAATACTGGAAGGTGTCACTCAGTGCCTTTTGCGAATTGAATTTGCAAGTTTGAAAATTGGCAGCAAGAAGACGCTCTCACGCTTCATTTAGGGAAGGAAGTATAGAAGACTCAGAAGTTATTCAACACATGAAAACTCGTTTTTTTTTTCTATTGATTGACTATTCCAGCCATATTGAATTTTTTTCCTCGAAAATAAAACAAAAAGTTGGGTTCTTTCAGGATAAATAAAACAAAAATTCATGAAATCGTCCTAAAGTAGTTATTTTTCTTTCGGATTTTAACCATCTATCAAACTTGAATTGATTTTTGTTTCATTGCTTGGAGCGCATGAAAGGGAATCCCTATGTTCTGAGAAAATCGTGCATACCTAGGGAGGATAGAGAGATAATTTTATCGCGTTTTTTTTTTATTGAAATATCGAAAGGTGTTTCGAAAATATTGGGTGAAAGTCATCTTCTCATTTTTGAACACCCTGCACTTAGGAAACTTTTTGTCACAAATCATCCAAAATATATCACTCTCGAGTATTAGCATCGAACTAATGAATACCCTGTATATTTTGTTGAAAACCCTTATTTCAAAAACAATGTTTTGAGTATAAGATACAATCAATCAATCAAATTGGTTCAAGTTTGAATATTTCATAAATGAAACATCAGACAATATTGGTCGACCTACGATCTCGCATTTTTTTCATGTGAAATTACTTATTGGCAGATTCCTTTCGATCGGAAGGGAAATTTATCCGATGAAAACAAGCTCTTGTGTTTTTACTGTTGACTCTTCCTCTCAAGAACCAATCAGAATCGACCATTTTCACGAATTCTCCTTTATTCCAGTGATATTTTTTGTTTACTAAAATTTATCAGACTTGCTCTACCAATACAGAAGCCGAATTGACCCGCAACGTGACCAAACTACATCGTTTCTCAGCGATAAATCAACTCCTACACGGAAATAGTTATTTGTTTAACTAGGCAGCAAAGTAGTAGATTGACTGCCGAGGCTGAATTCAGCTAAGGCAGTCAATCTACCTTGCTGCCTAGTTGAACATATAATTTTTTCTCCGATTGTTCATAATGATATAGGAGGATATTGTAATTGCAAATTATCACAATTCCCACAATCTCTTTATTTTTCCTGTAGTGTTCAATTAAAATGAAATCTGATAGAAATCGCAGTTGTCCATGATAATTATAGTTTGACAATTCATGAAAATTCTGACAGTTGTGCGAAAAAATATCAGCATATTTGAATTATTATATAATGGACAGTGATAGCGACCTGGAAGTACTTACACCTCCAGAAATAAGGGAGGTGGCAAAAAATATAGAGTTGAATTTGTTGCCGGGGAAGTCTCGAATGAAATATGAAGGAAATTATAAACAATTTATGGATTATTAATTTTGCTGATACATATCGATCAGCAAAGTACCCACTTTGCTGCCTAGGCAGGAAAAGTAATACTTTGCTGATTGATATATGTCAGCAAAATTAATATTTGCTGCTTATCGGAGAAAAACGCTATTTGACGACGACGTGAGTCATTTTGACATCGATAAAAAAAGTATGCACATTTTTAATCGCTCCTTTGATCTAGTAGCTATTTGCGCCTGATGTCACTCCAATTTCTGTCGTGTCAAGTTTGATTGATGGGTATGGTTTACGCGTAAATTAGCAAGATGAGCCGTTTTAGGAAAATTTCGTCTGAAAAAACCACGAAAATATGAGAGAATCCATTCCGCAAACTACCAGTTATACGGAATCATTGAAGGTGATCATTATTGTTGTTTATTTGTATATTGTCGTTGATTTATCTTGCCAAAAAACACTCGAACTTTTTTTTTAAGTAGATAAATTTCCTTAATAACACAAACATTTTCCATCAGTTATTTCTCTCGAAAAACTGACCTAACCTGACCAATTGCTTGACCTACGGTCGCAATTTTTTATGTGAGTTTTTCTCGTAAAATTACTGATTCGTTACCAAGAGAAATTTATTCAATGGAAAAACGCCCCTTTTTTGACTGTTGCGGTGTTCATAAAATTTTTGACGTTTATAACGTCAATTATGTTGGCAGCCAGAATGTTGGATGCAGTGTGCGCAACTCTCGCCAGGCGTTCGTTTATTGTCTCAATCATGAAATATTCAAACGAATACAACTCGATGATTTTTCCTGGAAATATTCGTCGATTGACATACTCCAGCTCGCTTTGATAAACAAAGTCATTCGCGAAATTACTAACAATCAGCCGAATGTTTCCGGGAATACACTACTTTTTGCTTGTCCTCCCTACGGGTTTTCCTGTGTGAAATAAGTCTTGTACTATACTTGATGAATGGACATGGACGTGGAAGAAAAATGACGAAACTTTGACGACTTTAAAGAAAAATGGCCCCTTCCTAGCAGAATCTCAGCACCGCAGCCAAAAGCAACAGTCCCAATCCAACTTGGGGACTGAAAGCTCCGTTCCTAGTGCACTCTGCCGGCTGGTCTCCGTGGATGTATTGACACAGGGCGTTCACAAAGTTCGTCTGCGCCATGTCGGTATCGGCCTGCTTGAATTGGTTGTTGAACACGATGGTAGGGACGGATTTCAAGGGGTTTTGGACGGCGTCTGTCATGCTTCCGAACATCGCCAAGTAGTTGGAGGCTGGAATAATTAAGATTTTTCATGGAAATATACAAAATCATGGATACATTATTTGTTAGTCCATAGAGTTTCAGGAACCATTAAGAAATCATTAAATCCTATACAGTCCAGGATCCTTATGGAAAAACCAATGAAATCGAAGAACACCGCGAGGAATTATTAAGAAATCATGTAAATTCTACCAAATTATTTGGTTGTCTGTGGAAGTCATCAAATATTATTGGTAGTCCAACTGAAATATTTGGATAGTCTCAGATGTGGTCGAGGAAAATCATTTGGTAGTCTCACACGTAAGAATCATCTGTTAGTCTCACACGTAAAAATCATTTGGCAGTCTACAGAATCATGGATAAATTATTTGATTGTCCAAGTATGGGAAATCATCAGCCGCAATCATCGATAAATTAGATAAGTCATATCAAATCATCTGGTAGTCCAACTAAAACCATTGGATAGTTTCATAAATGTGAGGGAGGAAAATAATAAAGATAAGGAAAATGATTTGGTAGTCTCTATGAAATCATGAAGAAATTATTTGGTTGTCGAGGTATGAGAAATCATTGGTTGTCCAATGAAATCATAGAACAGCCTCAGGAATTATTAAGAAATCATGAAAATCCTATTAAATCATTTGCCAGTCCAAGGACGTTATTGAAAATCATTGGTAGTCTAAGGAATCATGGATAAATTTGCTGTCTGATCTCTGTGGATGTTTTGACACAGGTCATCTGCGCCATATCGGTGTCGACCTGCTTAAATTGGTTGTTGAATACGATAGTAGGGACAGATTTCAGGGGGTTTTGGACGGCGTCTATCATGCTTCCACTTGAGGAGACCCTAGTCTGTCCAAGATAAGGTTGAACAGCATGGGGATCTCGGAAACGGTAGGAGATACGAAGTCGCTTAAATGGGGAAAAAGTTGCGCATTCGGAGGCTCATATCAAGAGCCTTCGAAAATTTTGAAAATTATTTTTAGTTTTTGAGTTATATCGAAAAAAGTGAATTTTTGGAATTTCTATTTTTTTTTTCTCCGTTATTATCAGAGATACAGAAAAACTGAAAATACTTTCTCATTGCAACTTTTGATGAGGTTTAACGTGGTGATACCGATTTTTTTATGCGACGTTTCGTATTCGTAGAACCATCATCAACTTTTGTTTTTTAAATACGGTCCTGATAATTTTTTCACAGATTCTGAAAGGTTTTTTTATTCTGAATTCAACAATGTACTATACAAGTTGATTCGAATGTGTTTCGACCTATTTCTATCCATCATCAATGTTTTTTCGAACTTCCAAAAGAAAAAAAGCCATCAGTTCCACTTATTTCTTATCATTTAGTGTCAAACTTGATGGATTAGTTATTCAATACTGAAAAGTGAATAAAAAATATTTCACTACATCATTCGATCAATGCAGCGTTAAAAATTGTTGATGAATTCTTACACGAATTACTTTAACAACTTAACTTTGACAATACCTACAGAGACATTCATAACAAATGTTCAAAATGATAACCATTATTTTCTGAACAAAGATATCCTCTTCTCACAGTTGTTTCTAAGACATTGCTAAGCATTTCTGGGGTTATTCTATTGAATGCTTCGAAGACACTGTCCCTTAGTTCTTCTTCATCCTCAAAGTTATTTGCGTGTACAAAGTTCGATATATCCCCTAAGAAAAAATCTAGCTGTGTCAAATCAGGCGACCGTGCCGGCCAAGGGATAAAAACGCACGGACTTCTCTGGAATTATGTACCGGAGCGCCATATTGTTGAAACCAACAGAGTTCTGAACTTCCGCAATCGGTAAATCATCCAGAGCTTCCTCAAGATGATTCTCAAGCGAATTTCTATAACGTTCGGAAGTCTGTGTTTTATGGTAAATAGAAGGAACAATAATTCGTGTACCAAATATTGCAACCCACATATTAAAGCCGAAACGGTGTTGGTGTCTCGCTGTAATGTATAAATGTTCATTTTCTCGTGAACAATAATGTGTATTTTTTCTATCGAAGCTACCATGATTAGTGACCATGCTTTCATCAGTCCAGATGATTGTTCGAAAGAAATCTGCAAAATTTTAACATTTCCTGGTATACCACTTACAGAATGTCTTGCGTCTTTCGTCATCGCCTGGTTTTAGCGCTTGACATGTTCTGAATTTGTATGGATGGAATTTTTGTTTCCGCAAAATGGAATGGGTTGTTGATTGAAACCAGTTGATGAGGTATTAGTGTGTTGACTAATTTTCCTTCAAAATAAGTGGAACTGATGGCATTTTTCCTTTGGAGTTTCGAAAAAACATTGATGATGGCCAAAAATAGGTCGAAACACAAATGAACCACCTTGTATAATACATGGTTGAATTCAGAATAAAAAAACCTTTTAGAATCTGTGAAAAAATTATCAGGACCGTATTTAAAAAACAAAAGTTGATGATGGTTCCACGAATACGAAACGTCGCATGGAAAAATCGGTATCACCACGTTGACCGTCATCAAAAGTTGCTATGAAAAAGTATTCTCAGTTTTGCTGTATCTCTAATAATAACGGAGAAAAAAAAAATAAAATAGAAATTCCAAAAATTCACTTTTTTCGATATAACTCAAAAACTAAAAATAATTTTCAAAATTTTCGAAGGCTCTTGATATGAGCCTCCGAATGCGCAACTTTTTCCCCATTTAACCGATTTCGTATCTCTTACCGTTTTCGAGATCCCCATGCTGTTCAACCTTATCTTGGACAGACTGTATATATGGATGTACTCTTCCCAGGACTTGTGGAGAAATGAAGATGCGAGGATCCTCAATTCAAGCGAAAAAAAAAATTCTTGTCCTTGTCTGGCAAAACATATGCTATGCTTCAAAATCGTTTGTGGTTATGTTTGATTGTCACTGCTTGTCTAGTGTCCGTACTCTAATATAAAAAAAAAGTCAATACAGCAGTGTCAAGCATATTTAGGAACTTTACTGACGACCAGATCTGTCGGAGCCACTGCCGATATTAATATTATTATCTTACCATCGGTGTGATTGGCGCAGTTGTCGATCTCGTTCAAGTTGCTGACGTGGTTGTAGAGGGCGCAGTCCTTGGTGGGGAAGATCACCTGGCCGTTCTTGTCCGCCTTGTCCATGAGGCAGTTGATGAAGCCGAGCGACACCTTGTTGAAGCCGAAGTCGGGCGTGTTATTTCCGCCGTCGATCAATTTCAGTGCGCATGCCTGGATCTTGTTGCCGTAGCACTCGTTCACGCCGTGATGGCACTCGAATTGGTACTGGTTCACGTCGAAGGTCGACTGAAAATGGACGATCGCTGTGTTACTTCATTCAACTCTTGGATGATTTTTTGAAATCTATATACAGGATGATAGTTGTGGTCACAAAAACCTATGGGAGATTCCCCTCAACAAAATATGAAATAAAGTTCATATGAATACGGGTCCGAAAATGATTCGTTTCCGAGTCCAAGTTAACGAAAATAGTTATTTATTAACAAGGGAAGATTTTAGCTCCAGGTCCGTGAGCTAAAATCTAATATTCTTCCCGAGTATAATACACAATTTTTTCTGTGACAGAAGAAAGGACGAATCAATATTGAGAAGATATTGCATTATTTTGAAATCTGAAAATTATAGACGTGAAATTTTAAGTTTTCAACAGTAGGGACATCTGCGTTGTAGGCATCTTTATCATAGAACTTACAATAATGAAAATTCGTATCTAAGTATTCGATGTGTTTCCTCATAGAATGGCTACTTTCCACGGTGATATCACCTCCTTTGAATCTGATACAAGGTGATTTGAAAAAGCAAAAGTATAAAAATATGCCATTGAATAACTAACACGTTATAAAAGGAATTGCAATAAAATGTTGAATGGGGGTATTTCAGCTACATCTCCGACTATATTATGGAATATTCTTCTTTTTGAAAATCGGTCAGCGGGATTCGAATTAGGAGGGTTTTGCGAGCTGATTATAGTCTCATTCTATTCAGCGTGTCATTTTCTATTGGAAGAGCGATAATTCGCGTGGATTTACGCCGTTTTCTGGCACTTTCGGCCGTCCGAAGATGGCTCGGTGACTATATCGTACTGAAGTCTTAGGTGGGAAAATGAAAATTTTTATTTGGTCTGTTAGAAATCTGAAAAAATTCACATAGACTAATTCGATGTCGAAATGAAAAAATCTGTTGTGGAAATTAGGAAATTTTGGAAAATGGAGACGTAGTAGCCTACAGGAGTGCTCCTATTGGCAATAAAAACGAATAGCTGACTTTGAGGGCCGATATCTCGAAAATTATCTGTTTTATGGAGCTGATTATAGTCTCATTCGATTCAGCGTGTCATTTTCTATTGGAAGAGCGATAATTCGCGTGGATTTTCGCCGTTTTCTGGCACTTTCGGCCGTCCGAAGATGGCTCGGTAACTATATCGTACTGAAGTCTTAGGTGGGAAAATGAAAATTTTTATTTGGTCTGTTAGAAATCTGAAAAAATTCACATAGACTAATTCGATGTCGAAATGAAAAAATCTGTTGTGGAAATTGGGAAATTTTGGAAAATGGAGACGTAGTCGCCTACAGGAGTGCTCCTATTGGCAATATAAACGAATAGCTGACTTTGAGGGCCGATATCTCGAAAATTATCTGTTCTATGGAGCTGATTATAGTCTCATTCGATTCAGCGTGTCATTTTCTATTGGAAGAGCGATAATTCGCGTGGATTTTCGCCGTTTTCTGGCACTTTCGGCCGTCCGAAGATGGCTCGGTGACTATATCGTACTGAAGTCTTAGGTGGGAAAATGAAAATTTTTATTTGGCCTATTAAAAATCTGAAAAAATTCACATAGACTAATTCGATGTCGAAATGAAAAAATCTGTTGTGGAAATTGGGAAATTTTGGAAAATGGAGACGTAGTAGCCTACAGGAGTGCTCCTATTGGCAATAAAAACGAATAGCTGACTTTGAGGGCCGATATCTCGAAAATTATCTGTTCTATGGAGCTGATTATAGTCTCATTCGATTCAGCGTGTCATTTTCTATTGGAAGAGCGATAATTCGCGTGGATTTTCGCCGTTTTCTGGCACTTTCGGCCGTCCGAAGATGGCTCGGTGACTATATCGTACTGAAGTCTTAGGTGGGAAAATGAAAATTTTTATTTGGCCTATTAAAAATCTGAAAAAATTCACATAGACTAATTCGATGTCGAAATGAAAAAATCTGTTGTGGAAATTGGGAAATTTTGGAAAATGGAGACGTAGTAGCCTACCGTAGTGTTCCTATTGGCAATAAAAGCGAATAGCTGACTTTGAGCGCCGATATCTCGAAAACTATCTGTCCTATGGAGTTGATTATGCTCTCATTCGATTCAGCGTGTCATTTCCTACTGGATATGCGATAATTCGCGTAGATTCTTGCCATTTTTTGGCACTTTCGGCTGTCCAAAGATGGCTCGGTGACTATATCGTACTGAAATCTTAGGTGGGAAAATGAAAATTTTCATTTCGCCTATTAAAAATCTGAACATAGACTAATTCGATGTCGAAATTAACGAATCTGTGGTGGAAATCGTGAAATCTTGGAAAATGGAGACGTAGTAGCCTACCATAGTGTTCCTATTGGCAATAAAAGCGAATAGCTGACTTTGAGCGCCGATATCTCGAAAACTATCTGTCCCATGGAGCTGATTATGTTCTCATTCGATTCAGCGTGTCATTTTCTAGTGGAAAAGTGATAATTCGCGTGGATTTTCGCCGTCTACTGGCACTTTCGGCCGTCCGAAGATGGATCAGTGACTATATCGTACTGAAGTCTTAGGTGGGAAAATGAAAATTTTTATTTCGCCTATTAAAAATCCGAAAAAATTCACATAGACTAATTCGATGTCGAAATGAACGAATCTGTGGTGGAAATCGTGAAATCTTGGAAAATGGAGACGTAGTAGCCTACCATAGTATTCCTATTGGCAATAAAAGCGAATAGCTGACTTTGAGCGCCGATATCTCGAAAACTATCTGTCCTATGGAGCTGATTATGCTCTCATTCGATTCAGCGTGTCATTTCCTACTGGATATGCGATAATTCGCGTAGATTCTTGCCATTTTTTGGCACTTTCGGCTGTCCAAAGATGGCTCGGTAACTATATCGTACTGAAATCTTAGGTGGGAAAATGAAAATTTTCATTTCGCCTATTAAAAATCTGAAAAAATTCACATAGACTAATTCGATGTCGAAATGAACGAATCTGTGGTGGAAATCGTGAAATCTTGGAAAATGGAGACGTAGTAGCCTACCATAGTGTTCCTATTGGCAATAAAAGCGAATAGCTGACTTTGAGCGCCGATATCTCGAAAACTATCTGTCCCATGGAGCTGATTATGTTCTCATTCGATTCAGCGTGTCATTTTCTAGTGGAAAAGTGATAATTCGCGTGGATTTTCGCCGTCTACTGGCACTTTCGGCCGTCCGAAGATGGATCAGTGACTATATCGTACTGAAGTCTTAGGTGGGAAAATGAAAATTTTCATTTCGCCTATTAAAAATCTGAAAAAATTCACATAGACTAATTCGATGTCGAAATGAACGAATCTGTGGTGGAAATCGTGAAATCTTGGAAAATGGAGACGTAGTAGCCTACCGTAGTATTCCTATTGGCAATAAAAGCGAATAGCTGACTTTGAGCGCTGATATCTCGAAAACTATATGTCCTATGGAGCTGATTATGTTATCATTCGATTCAGCGTGTCATTTCCTACTGGAAAAGTGATAATTCGCGTGGATTTTCGCCGATTATTGGCACTTTCGGCCGTCCGAAGATGGATCGGTGACTATATCGTACTGAAGTCTTAGGTGGGAAAATGAAAATTTTTATTTCGCCTATTAAAAATCCGAAAAAATTCACATAGACTAATTCGATGTCGAAATGAACGAATCTGTGGTGGAAATCGTGAAATCTTGGAAAATGGAGACGTAGTAGCCTACCGTAGTATTCCTATTGGCAATAAAAGCGAATAGCTGACTTTGAGCGCTGATATCTCGAAAACTATATGTCCTATGGAGCTGATTATGTTATCATTCATTATTGGCACTTTCGGCCGTCCGAAGATGGATCGGTGACTATATCGTACTGAAGTCTTAGGTGGAAAAATGAAAATTTTTATTTGGCCTATTAAAAATCTGAAAAAATCCACACCCTGTATATGTATATTTGGTTGGATTATCTGAGTTTCCAAAGTGCTAGAAAAATTGGACACACCCTGTCTGTATACAGACTGATCGTATCACAATCGAGCTCGATATGAATTGGGGGATGATGGAAATTAGGTCACGTGACTTCGCGTCGCCATAGGGCCATTAACACGAACGCCACAGATTGACCGCAAAATTATTATTCCGCAAATATTGATCACGCAATGCGTATCACCCTGTACGAGGGGATTCGGCACAGGAAATTACGTTGTGTCGAGATACGTGAACTAGATTTCCAAATCAATTAATGATTGCTGGACATTCTTTTGTTCGCGGATGTTTATTGTTTATTTTAAGCACCTACCACAGGTTGGTCAGTAATTAAAAAAGTGCTTATCGCATCGACTTCATGGTAGGTCGTCATAACACGAAAAAAAAAAATGAATCATCATCGTCCTTTCATTGGTTCGTCATAGTTCAACAATTCGTGATATGAATTTCTGATGATTATAAAATGAAACATACTTCCCAACTGTGGCAAATTTATCTTCTATAAGGAATGTTTGAACTGCTATACAGTAAATCTCAATGGTTGAAAACTGATCAAAATAAACATCGTGGTCCAAATTATAAGCAGAATTCAAAACCGAATAACTCATTGATCCCATAAAGAATTTCTATTTGGTTTTCACATCCATAGTAAAATTAACTCACTCATAAATATTTGGGGTTCATGTTCCAGGAATAATTTTAACAAAATATCTGTATTATGTGAAAAAACATACTGTATTGTCCATATGACACCCCATCAAATCAACCTCATAAAGAAACAAATACATTTTCTTTGGAAGAGCACTATCAGATAAATACTCTTAAAATTTCTTTTGATATTATCAACAAACACCTCAAACCTATCTTCATATTGGTAAGGAATTCTCAAATCCATGAACATTATACTAGACAATATGACTTCTTTCATCTTGATGCTGCTAATTCTACAATTGGCCAAAAAAAGTTTACTCGCGGAGCTATCTCAAAATTCAATAAATTACCTGATGATAACAAAAATTGCACAAATATCACCCAATTCAAAATTAAAGTCGAGAAACATATCCTCTTGTAGAGAGTGAATCAAACCTGAGTGAATGATTCCTCATTTCATCATTTATTTCATCATATCATAATGTAGTTTTCATGAGCTTTTTGTTTTATTTCATTATTTTTGAATCTGTTGTTTATTTGAATAGCTTAAATTTTATAACGCATGAATAGTCTCATACCAGATGTTAATCTGTCTGACTATTCATGTTATTTCATCATAAATTTTAATGAAATAAATGTAATGTTTATAGCAAAGAATTAAATAAATATTATTATTATATTATTAAAAAATCTTCCAGTTACTCGTCAGAGAAATATGAGACTGAAGTTTCACAGGACAGGATGACGATTGAAGTAGTGTAAAATTGCAGTCGATTTTTTGCAGGAGTATTAGGAAATTAATCAGTTTTTCTTACCTTACTCTTTCCATATGGCACCAAGATCAAATTCACGAAAGAAGAAAGATTTCCTTGAAGAGATGGGTACAGCTGTTGGGTGAAGAATTTCTTGGAATCTGGGCACAGAGATTCATAGTAGACTGAAACGTTCACCTAAAGAAATCGAAAAATTAAATACAAGAAAAAAAAAAAACCGGGTACAATTGAACATTAGAAATAGTTTCATTTACTCAATTATACGGAAAATGCCTGAATGATTTTATTTTATATTTCCTCACCACCTACCAGTAACACACATGTCATTGCGCTGACGTCATCAATTATTTAATAATTGTGGCAATAAACCAGACTGCACGATTAGGTCAGAGAAATCATTGTTAATTATGGTATTTTGGAACAACTATAACAGCAAATTTTCATAGGATCCAGAAAGTTATAATTGAATAAAAAAATAGTTATCTATACTAACATTATAAAAAATGTATAAAGAATGGAAGATGAAAAATAATTTATAAAAAGTGATAGTTTCAATACCTTTCAACAGGGATGAAATATCAAACTCTTTTTCCATCATAAAAAATACTTCCAATTTCTGATACTGAGTTCCAGTTTATATACTTAGATACGGGGTTTTTCAGAGTTGGATTCTGCTCAGCAAATTATGTACAAATGCTTTGTTTTAGAAATACAGGGAAGTGATTATTGATTATTCCTTCAATAGCTCAAAAACGCTTCAGTCGATTTCATTAGAATTCATTCAGACAGTTATTAGACATCTTCTGGATCATTTAGATTTGATCTGGAATCTCCAGGAACTCAGGTAGCAAGAAAGTACCTATGTTGGTTTGTGAAAAACAAAATATCACTGTAGACAACAACAATTAGGTCGTGGAGCTCTGTAATGCAATAATAATCAAAACTACAGATTGATATATTGTTCTGGTAAGAAACAACACTTGTTCTCTGAGTATACCCCTGTAAATTCTGGATTAAATCTAATTGGTTCAGTAGTATACCCTGTATAGATAGATACATAGATAGATAAGCTTTATTGTCTAAAATGAACACATTTTGTCGACAAAGTCAATATCTTGCGATACATTGATTGCAAGATATAAATAAATAAAATAGAAAAAAAGAGGAATATATAGAAATAACATAGAACAAGTATCATCATTATTACAAAGAACATGTCTCTTTAAAATCAACAATATGAAATTCTCACATATCATAAAAGGACTAGAATTTGTAAGCTAAGTATTCGTCTAAACAATACAAGCATTTTCCCACTAACATATCTTTGACAGATTTCCGGAAGTGTTTCAAATCATTGATTATAGCTATATAATCTGGTAAATGATTGTGAATAATGTTGCTCTTGCACGAGAAGCCTCGTTTCTTCACAATAATTTATAATTTCAAACACAAGGATACCCGCATTCTTTTCAATCATTCTCCCATTGCGATGATCTCAAAGTGCAACTACTGGAATTGGCAACAGCGCCAGCATTGGCAACCAATTATTATTATTTTTATTATTTATTCAAATGGAGTTAGGTTCCGGCCTAACGGCTTCGATAATCACTTACAATTATTCGAATTGCTGCATAGTTCATGATGACATGATCACAAGGCGAGAGGATACGCGATCTTTTTTTTTCTTGTGGATGTTAGGAAATTCGCAATCGAGCGAAACAAACACCGAGTGATCAATAATTATTATTTTTCTCCAAATGACATCTAAAGTGGATTTTCAATGACACTTAACAGGCAGAAAAGGTGTACTTTTATTGCCTAGGCAGAAAAAGTTTGTTGCTATACTACGTTCCAAGTAATTTCTATCAAATTGGTAGTCAAAATTGACAATGACTTTGGGTGAACAAAAAATTATGGATTATTTGAATTTTGCGTAAAATTGAAAAGAATTTGAAGAAGGAATTATATGTTTCACATGGCAGAAAAGGAGATGTAATGCCTTGGCTGATGGTTGGCTACGCCTAGGCTATGAAACGCCAGCCGCGGCATTAAATCTTGTACTTTTCTGCCTAGTAAAACAAATATAACTTTTACTTGGAAGTTATTTTGCTTCATTTCATCCCACTCTCGTACCAGAAAATAAGAGGAAAAACAATCATTTCATACATTATTGGCTAGGCTCTAGACTTTTTACTCGGAATGACAATGAATTAGCCACTTTAAGGCATTTTAAATGCAGTTAGATAACATTGAAACTGCTTAAACAGTTAAATGTGTACTTATATCTTCAATGTCTGTGGTAGTAGGCATCAGATCTTCTACTCAAGTTTATTCTGAATGGTTATGGCAAAAATGAGGTTGATTATATTTCAAAAGATTTGTCACGTTCGAATTTCTATGGAAAATATGGGTAAGTAGATAAAAGAAATGATTATTTCACCACTGGTTAGCTAATTAGCATACGTATCGTATATACCTTTTGGAAATAAAATTTGATAAGCACTACATTCAATACAGAACTAACTGGTGCCATTTTTTTTAACTGATACATTTTTGAGGAATTACTGATTCGAAAGATTTCTTCAAAATTAATTCTAGCTAGTGTCAAAATGTTGGACATGAAAAATAAGAGGATATATGAGAAAAAAATTGAACAAAAAACGAGAAAAAAATCAAGTATGCCACTTTAAAACAATTAAAATTATTGGGCCTTCCGCACCGAAATTTGGACAGAGACCAGAATTATTACAGTGTAAAACTTTGGGTGGAATAAAATTTCATTTTGATCTCCTTATTTTTTTCATTGGTGCCATCTGATAATATACAAGCTTTCTCAGGTTTTGAAATATCTGCACTTATTTCATTGCCACTCTATATATATTGAATCGGAAAAAAGTGAATTCAACGAAACAACAAAATATATACCCACGTAATACCCATATCATTCCATTAAAAAAAAGAAATAGAAAAAAAAAAACATTTGTACATGGATATGATTTTCAAACCAATGATTGTAAAACAATTTAGGTTTGGAAGATCTGTGTATACCATGAATTAGAAACTTATTTTATTCTATATTCTTTAAAATATACAAAACCGGTTGATGTATATCTACCTTTTTGAGATAAATAATTAATGATAATTAACCTGGATACCTCGAAAATTACCAAAAATTATCACCTTCAAACCATCATCAAACCAAACAGAAACTGTAAACGACACGACAGTGTGATAAAAAAGTTGAATAACTGTTTCAAACCAACAGGTATTGTTTTTTTTAATAGCCATTGTAGTTAAGTTGTTTACCGCCTTTACTGGACAAACATCAAACACAGGGTGTGGCCACAGTGTGTGGCAGAATCGTACCTCCTGTTCTTTGTTGAAATAACAGGCGCTTCTTCCGCCTAATGGAAATCATAATTGAATCACGAGCGAAAATCTGCGCACCTCAAAATCACCATATTGATCCCAACAAACTGGGTTTCTAGGTCCCATACTCAATTTTTAGAAATCAAGATGCGCCGCAGCCACCTGTTAGAACTTTCACCCGCTAACAAAAATAAAATTAAAGAAAAAAATACTCACCCTGTGTTGCTCGTGGTTGTGATTTTCGTGTTGCCCCTGTACAGCCACCACAGCAGCGGCCAGCGACAACAGCAACAGTTGGCATCGTTTGTCCATTGTTATTTGCGTGGAGTCGCTTGTTTCTTACGGTAGTAGGCTGTGCTAACGGTCGAGGCACTAAGAACAAGTGAACGGCTGGTCGCTTGGAAGTTGGAAACCGCCTGCTATTCCACTACTCCTAGTGACCTATACCTACCTTTCGCACAGGCGTACCAGTGGGAGGGATAACAGGGTCACTATGTTAATGGATATTTAAAAAAATCGGGAATGGGGAAAACTGCATTTATCATGTCGTGATGGTTTTTTTTTCGAAAATTTGTTTTGGTACAGGGTGATTCACCATAAATGTCCCCCCCTCTAGCTCACTTATTTTTGAACCGTTTTAAAAATTTGAAAGATGATCTAAAATGATTTTTCAGAAATTTTTTTCCCGTTGCATCAGAAAATACAGGGTGCTCGGAACAAACGATCTACAGAGTACTAATTGAATTTTTTAAATGGAACACCCTGTATTTTATCGTATTTTTAGATTCTTCCTGAAAAGCTGATTTCATCAATGTATCACGACACTTGGGGTTTAGCGGGAATGATTACAGAGATATAGGGTGTTTAAAATCGAGATTTTCCAACTTTAGGATTTTTTTGTGCCGAAACTATTCATTATTGGTCAAAACGGCTTCTATGTTCCCATCTCAACTTTTGATTTACTATCTAGTGAAATTGAATTGGAACATTTCCAGGGTGGTTCAAGATTCAGAATTCTGGTCACCCTGTATCTGTTCCAATTATTAAATATCAGTAGATAGTGAATCAAAAGTTGAGATACGGACATGAAAACCGCGTGACCGATAATGAATAGTTTCGTCAGAAAAAAATCCTAAAGTTAAAAATCTCGATTTTGAACACCCTATATCTCTGTAATCAGTCCCGCTAGACCCCAAGTGTGATACATTGATCAAATCAGCTCTTCAGGGAGAATCTAAAAATAAAATGAAAAATAGGGTGTTTCATTTAAAAAAATCAAATAGTACCCTGTAGATCGTTTGTTCCGAGCACCCTGTATTTTCTGATCTAACGGAAAAAAAACTTTATCGAAAATCATTCAAGATGATATTTCAAATTATAAAATCGGTTCAAAAATAACTGAGCTAGAGGGGGGGACATTTATGGTGAATCACCCTGTACATACGTATTTTTGTCTGAAAAACACGAATTTGATGATGAAAATGTGAACGAACCATTATTTATTACGATGTTTGACTATAAAGTTACAAACTTCACCTTATTCTTTTCCGCCTGTCTTCTAGATGGCATTTAGAACAATTTGTCCTTCTTTTTTCATCATTGGACAATTTATAAATATATTACAATGTACAGGATCATTCCGTATATTTAAACAGCTTCTACAGGGTTCATCATTGAAGATAGAGAAAAACTTTGAAAGCAAAAGTTATAGGGTTTGTTCTGAACCTCCAGAAACTTATACGAGATGAAACAAATGAATATCGCTGATATAAAAAATGGGTACCAACTTCGTTATTTTC